GGTTTATCTAGGTGGATGTTGAAGTCTCCAAGCATAACTAGGGGAGTACCATCCTCAGGAAAGTTTGAGAGCAGCACATCTAATTCTTCCAAGAAGTTACCTTGTGGTCCTGGGGGTCGATAAACAACTACAAAATGGATTTTAAAAGGGTGGGTAATAGTGACTGAATGTGATTCAAAGGATTTGCTAATACCCAGAGAAGGTAAAGGAATACATTTCCAATCATTAGAGATAAGCAGACCAGTACCTCCACCTCTTCCAGTTAGACGGGGAGTTTAGAAATTATTGGAGAGTGCTGCAGGTGTAGCATTGTCCTCTGGTTTGATCCACGTCTCTGTCAGGGCCATGAGGTTTAGTCTTGAATGACTAGTAATAGATGTAATGAAATCTGCTTTGTTTACTGCAGACTGACAATTCCAGAGACCAATAGAAAAAGAAAGTAGTGTATTAGTAGACATAGGCAAAGTGCGCAGGTTGTTAGGATTGCGCTGCCTACAGTGTGTGATGCATGGTTTGCGAGTAGTAGTAATAGTAGGGATATGGAAACACATAGTAAGAGTTAGTCATAAAAACTGAAACAGAAGTGAAGAAAGGTGTTAGTGTGAATGGAGCTGCAAAGGAGAAAGAAAGTCAATATTTAATATGTACATTCGAATCTATAGAAGTGAAAAAAAAAGAGCTAGAGAGATCAAACCCACATTAGATGACTTACCATTAGATGACTTGAAGTTCTTCTTCTCAATAATTGTTTTGCCCTGGTGTGTGACCTCGCAGGTATAGTTCGTATTTGCATTCCATGTCTCACTGCTGACTTTATAAAGATTTTGTGCTGTATAAAGACCTTCATCATTCAATTTGTACTCCAGTTTTGACTGTATCTGGCTGATGGTATCATTTACTTTCCAACGTATAGTGAAGTAGTAATCCATGGGGTAGAAATCCTCAATAACACACATGAAAAATGTACTTTTCCGAGTTGTTACAGGAATCAAGCTCAGGGTTGGCGTTTGTGAATTCACTGAAATAAAAACAATTTAGGTTTGTATACAATGAAACTATGTTGAAGACATCTGAAATTTTGCTACAACAACTGTTATTGTCTGTCATGGCCTTTTCTGAATGGTTGTGTAACTGTGTGCTCTGAGTGCTGTGCTACATATGTTATATTACTTTGAGTTAATTTCACTTTAACACTCATAAGACTGACTTCAAATGACTTGTCAGAAGCAACAGAAACACAGTACACAGTACTTTCTTAGAAGTCAGCACTGTAGTGATCAAGTGTGCTGTACAGCTGTAGTAGTTTCCACTATGAATTGTCTTGTAAAATGAATGTTGAAAAACACCTTGGCTGTCTTTTCCATCTTTAACACCTGCCTCCTCTCTCTCTCTCTGGGTGACTACAATTTTTTTTTTAACTTTTACTGCAGAAATCAAACAAGTTTTACTCTGCGTGATGTAATTGATTTAATAACCAAGAAATGCTGTCATCATATTGACCATTCTCTAAGTTGCTCATGGTGCCCAATAACTTCTTTCATTCTTCATTTTCACACATCAATCTATAAAAGTCAGTATAAACTGTCATGTGGTTCACTCTAAACTTTCACCATCAGCCTATGAAGCTTCCGCAACTAGTTCAATGTTTTTATATGTACGTGGTGTGAAGCACAGACAAACGTTACACAAAGACAGAAAGAACAACAGCATCACTTGCCTTAACCTCGCACAAAATTAAAGGAAAATATCCAAAGGAAAATGCTGAGGACTTTTACAAGAACTGTCATTTTGAGCTCATTTCACAAGTAGCTTTTTTGGTCTTTGTCTCTGAAACTCTTCACCGGGAAACAAGTTAAACATTTACCAAAATCAAAAAGACGTCACCACACTGTTACGGAAGGAGACTCACAAAGAGGATTAGAGTACAAACTGGTTGTTTATTAACAGCAAGTGATGCAGATGGTAATGGCAGGTGAGTAATAAAGGCAATGTAGCAGTTGTTTGTATAGATGGTGAATATAACACAGTTTCTGGTTTCGCAGGAGATCATGGAATGGGGACAGAAGACCGCACACACCTCAGATGACGAGTACTGAGAAGATCCATGGAGATGATCACTGGAACAGACAAAGGAATGGAACACAGGAGAACACACTGGAGGAGACACAGGAGGTAAGTACAACAGGCAGGTAGGTAGTTCAATGTAATCGCACGGATAGCATAGAGAGTCCGCTTCATATGAACGAGACCGGACACTGGAGTGAAGTGAGGTGTGTGCTTTTGTATTAGTCTTGATGAGAGTGCAAATTCCAAACAGGTGCGTGCAATCTGTACTTCGGTGATGGTGTTCGCTTTGATTGGGTGGTGGCTGAGCTTGGCCGATCTGTGACGGTACCCCCTCCTCCACGGCCCGCTCCTGAGGGCCGAAGACCCCGACGTCGTGGTGGCCTACCTCTCCCTCGGGGCCCAGGGCGATCTAGATGAGTGGAGTGAAAGGCTTACAGCAGCGTGGGATCGAGGATGTCAACTCTAGGAACCCATGAACGTTCCTCTGGCCCATAGCCTTCCCAGTCCACAAGATATTCTAAGAGACCACCACGGCGCCGGGAGTCCAAGATCTCGTTGACTTTGTAGATGGCACCGTCCTCTTGGATTAACGGAAGAGGGGGTTCTTCCATCGGGCCAGGCTCTGTGGAGACAGAAACAGGAGGATGGTGAGGTTTAAGCAGTGACACATGGAAGGAAGATTGAATCTTATACTGTGAGGGAAGCTGAAGTTAGTACGTGACTGGTTTATCTGCTTGATGGTGAAGGGGCCAACATATCTGGGACTGAGCTTTTTGCAGGGCAGGCGCATCCTGATGTCCCGTGTTGACAGCCATACCTTCTGACCAGGTTGGTATGATGGAGTTTCAGCCCTTCGAAGGTCTGCTGTCGTCTTGCTTCTGCGGATTGCCTGCTGAAGCTGATGGTGAGCTGCGTCCCAGACCCTCTCGCTCTCTCGGAACCAGTAATCGACAGATGGGACATCAGACGGTTCCCCGGACCAGGGGAATAGGGGAGGCTGGTAACCGAGTACGCACTGGAAGGGAGTGAGTCCAGTGGATGGCTGGCGAAGAGAGTTCTGCGCATACTCGGCCCAGCCTAGGAACTGGTTCCAAGAGTTCTGGTGGCCATGGCAGAAGGTTCGCAGGAAACGTCCAATTTCCTGAATCTTCCTCTCCGTCTGCCCGTTAGACTGGGGATGGTATCCTGACGAGAGGCTTATGGTCACACCTAGGAGGGAGAAAAATGCCTTCCATACCCTGGAAATGAACTGTGGGCCACGGTCTGAGACAATGTCTTCTGGGATTCTGTAATATCTGAAGATGTTGTTAAACATGATCTCAGCAGTTTCCATAGCTGTGGATAGACCCTTGAGGGGGAGAAGACGGCAGGATTTAGAGAATCGATCAATGACTACTAGAGCACATGTGTTACTATCTGAGGCAGGCAGATCTGTGATGAAGTCAACTCCTAGATGTGACCAAAGGCGGTTAGGAACGGGCAGCGGAAGAAGTTTGCCAGATGGATAATGGATTCCGGTTCCTCACTGACCTCTTCAGGAGCATGAAGACAAGAGAGAGCGTCCGCTTTCACATTTTTGGGACCTGGACGATAGGAGATGGTAAAATTGAATTGAGTCAAAAAGACCGCCCATCTTGCCTGGCGAGGATTAAGTCTCTTGGCGTCTCGCAGATATTGCAGGTTTTTATGGTCAGTGAGGACACTGAATGGATGTTGTGCTCCCTCCAACCAATGCCTCCATTCCTCCAGGGCTAACTTAATGGCAAGGAGTTCCCTGTTGCCGATATCGTAATTTCTCTCCGCCGGGCTGAGTTTGCGAGAGAAGGTACATGGATGGAGTTTGGCTGGAGTCCCCTGCTGTTGAGAAAGCACCGCTCCTACGCCCGTAGTGGAAGCGTCCACCTCCACCACGAAGGGCCTGTTGGGATCTGGATGGATGAGGAGCGGTGCGGAGGTGAAAGCTGTCTTGAGGGCTTCAAAGGCTTCAGTGGCAACTGGTGAACAGGACAGAGATTTGGGCTTGTTTTTTTAAGAGACTAGTGAGTGGACTTGTTATGGAGCTGTATTGGTGGATGAATCTTCTATAAAAGTTCGAGAATCCCAGGAAGCGCTGAAGTTCCTTGATGGTGGTTGGAACTGGCCAATTCCTGATGGCCTCTACCTTCCCCTCGTCCATCAGGATGCCACCGTTATCGATGATATATCCAAGGAACTGCACTGAGGACTGATGGAAGGAGCATTTCTCGGCTTTGAGGAACAGATGGAATTCTCTCAGGCGTTTCAGGACCTCCGCAACGTGGTGGCGATGTTCAGCCATGCTCCAGCAGTAGATTAGGATGTCAATGTATACACGGATGAACCGGTGTAGATACTCCCGGAGTACCTCATGCATGAAATCCTGGAATACAGAGGGGGCGTTTACCAGTCCATACGGCATGACAAGATACTCATAGTGGCCAGTAGGGGTCACAAATGCGGTCTTCCATTCGTCCCCCTCACGTATCTGGATGAGGTTGTACACGCTGTGGAGGTCTAACTTGGTGAAGACGGTGGCTCCGCAGAGATGCTTCAGTGCCGCCGGGACGAGGGGAAGTGGATAGCGAAATTTGACGGTACTCTTATTCAGTGCTTGGTAATCAATACAAGGCCTCAAACCTCCATCCTTCTTGACCACGAAGAAAAATCTTGACGCAGCAGGGGACGTAGAAGGGCGGATGTAGCCTTGATGTAAAGCCTCCTCTATATACTCCTCCATGGCCTTCTGTTCTGGGAGTGATAATGGATAAATCTTTCCTCGGGGCACTGGCTCACCCGGAATCAGATCTATTGCACAGTCCCATGGCCGGTACAGAGGTAACTGGGAGGCTTTCTTCAGGCAGAATACATCACTGAAGGGGGCGTAACAGATTGGAATGTCGACTGACTGTTTCTCGACTGGGCTCTCCGATGGACGTGGAGTTGAGTGTGAGAGTTTCGGAGTGAGGAGGTGATGGCTGAGGAATGTGAGGGAAACAGTCAGGAGAACAGGTACTGCCCCACCCTAGGATCACATCAGCGGTGGAATCCTCCAGAACCAGGAGATGTAGTGTTTCCCCATGTAATTGTCCCACTTGTAAGTGAAGAGGACCCACACTGTGACGCACATGTCTTCAGCTGAGGGGTTTTCCGGTCACCGATTGGACCTGGTAGGTGGTCTTGGTGGTATTGGTCGAGAGATTGAGCTGGCGACAGAGATTCCCGGAGATGAAGTTCCTGGCTGACCCAGAGTCGAGGAGGGCGTGTACTGGAAAGGAGATACCAGAAGCAGTAAGTTTTACAACAGAGGTGAGGGGCTGCATATTAACTATCAATGGCTTAATGACACTCACCATAGGTCGTGGTGGACGAATTGGGCATGCCGCGATTACATGCCCCCCAGCTCCACAGTACAGACATAAGCTCTGGATCAGCCGTCTCTGCCGCTCCCATGAGGAGAGTCGAGTGCCGTCCACTAGCATGGGTTCGTAACCTGGTTCTGGAGGGCTGATGGTGTCTGGCCGGCGAAGGAGTGAAGTGTATGGTGAGAGTTGATGTTCTGCAATGCAAGACTGCATACGAGTAGCACATCGGATGGACAGCTGTATAAATCGTTCCAAGCCATAGGAGTCATCATAGGCTGCGAGCTGAAGCCGCACTCTCGGCTCTAGTCCCTGCCGGTAGGTGGTGAGAAGTGCGCGCTCATTCCAGCAGCTGGCTGCTGCGAGAGTTGAGGGCATAATAGTTTATGGACAGAGAACATAACATCTAGGTATCGCCTGCTGGTCTACCAAAAACTTCTCGGAAATGTGCAATAAAATCATCAAGAAATTGAGTTACAGTACCAGCTTGGGACCAGATGGTCTCTGCCCATTGGAGTGCTCGCCCCGTCAGCAGGGATATGATGAACGCAATTTTGACTTTATCCGTTGCGTAAAGATATGGCTGCATCTCCAGTTCGAGCGAACACTGCAGCAGAAATCCGTTGCACTCCTCCGACGAGCCAGAGAAGGGCGCTGGTTTGGCCATGGGACTGGTAAGTACTGTAGAAGAAGGAGCGGCGTTGGTGACGGGTGTGACAGGGTGGTGTGACTGTTGAGGGCATCCACGATCTCCTGGAACGGGTCGGGTGCACTCATCTTGCTGAATCCTTTGTTTGGTCCAGTCTTCTGTTACGGAAGGAGACTCACAAAGAGGATTAGAGTACAAACTGGTTGTTTATTAACAGCAAGTGATGCAGATGGTAATGGCAGGTGAGTAATAAAGGCAATGTAACAGTTCTTTGTATAGATGGTGAATATAACACAGTTTCTGTACCTTTCAAGTCTCTGCCGTTCTCACACAGAACAACCTCCTGGACAGCAACCAATCTGGCTTCAGAAGTGGACATTCGACCGAGACTGCCTTGCTCTCAGTTGTTGAAGCCCTAACACTGGCAAGAGCGGCTTCCAAAACTTCTATACTTATCTTGCTGGATCTGTCTGCTGCTTTTGATACGATGAACCACCAGATTCTCCTGTCAACCCTATTGGAAAATGACATCTCAGGAACCGGATGCCAGTGGTTTGAGTCTTACCGCTCAGATAGGTCCTTCAAGGTATCTTGGAGAGGTGAGGTGTCCAAG